AGACCCAGCCAAGAGGCTAGCTGGTCGGCACAGCCCACTGAGGAGAGACCAGGCTGGCCTGGGTACTGTCACTTTGGAGTGTGAGTATCTTGCACATCCTGGATGGGAGGCTGTGGGGTTTTACGCTAGGTCTACACTGTTCTTATATTTGTTTTAGTTAATAGCCACTTTTACAGAGAGACAGAACAGTGGAACAGAGAGATAGTTGAATTCCTTCTTCCCTCCCCCTCCCCCGGGGATTGATCTCAGGGGGACTGAACTCAAGGTGACTGAACCATAGAGTCACATCCCCACCCTTGTTTTGTATTTTACTTAGAGTCAGGGTCTCACTGAATTCCTCAGTGTCTTGCTGAGGCTGGCTTTGAACTCCATCCCCTGCCCCCGCCTCCCAAGCCACTGGGATTACAGGCGTGCGCCACCGTGCCTCGCAATACTTTTGAATAATATTTTTGAATAAACGTGTAGTAATTTTATTTACTGATGGAATCACATGCCTGGCGTACTAGCATTGGAGAGCAGATTGATTTTGCTAAGTACATGCAGGTTGATTTAAACGTAACTTTAGAAACAGGCGGTTACCTTTGAAAGCAACAAATTTTCCCTATTAAGTTGCATAAATATTAGCTTTTTCACATGAGCAAAATGATAACCACGGGGTGGCTGTTAGCTTTGCTGCGTGTATTGATAGTTTCTATTTGAGGACTAAGGGGGTGTGGCTGCTATCTCCCCAGCCCCCCTTTTTGTACCTGGTTGAGCCCAGGTGTGCTTAACCATTGAGCAACATCCCCAGCCCTTTTTTATTTTGAGACAGGGTCTTCCTAAGTTGCTTAGGACCTCACTAAGCAGCTGAGGCTGGGTTTGAACTTTTGATCCTCCTGCTTTCGCCTCCCAAGCTGCTGGGTTTACAGGTTGGCACCATTGGACTCAGCTTCCCCTGCATTTGAATCGCAGGCCAGGGTTTTCTCCTTTGATACTGACCTGCTGGTATACAGGCTAGACAACTCTGGAGGTTGGTATTACAAATAACTTGTTGCTTTTTTTTGGGGCGTGGGGGGGGAAGGTGGTGGTTGTTGTTTGTATTTTGTTTTGGGGAAAGAACCCAGAAGCGAATCTCCAGGCCTTTTTTTCCTTAAAGATTTTTTTTTTCTCGCATTGTAGATGGATCAATACCTTTATTTTATTTATTATGTGGTGCTGAGGATTGAACTCAGTGCCTCTCTTGTACTAGGTTAGCGCTCTACCACTGAGCCACAACCCCAGCCCATATTTTATTTATTTCTGCATGGTGCTGAGGATCGAACCCAGTGCTTCACTCATGCTAGGCAGGTGCTCTGCCACTGAACTAGTCCCTCCCAGGACTTTTTATCTTAATATTTATTCATTCATTCATTTTTTTGGTGCTGGGAATTGAACCCAGAGCTGTTTACTCACTGATCCATATCCCCAGCCCTTTTTATTTTTCTAACTTGAGATGAGGTCTGGCTTAGTTGCCTAGGGCCTTGCTAACTTGGTGAGGCTGACCTTAATCTCTGGATTGTCCTGCCTCAGCCTCGTGAGTTGGCTAAGGTTCTAGGCATGTGCCACTGTGTTTGGCTAAATTATGTTAGTTTTAAAAGCTCACTTGTTTTATGGACTTTGGACATATGTGATAAATATTCTGCTCTTTTCCCAAGATACCGGAAACTTGCACTAAAGTGGCATCCAGATAAAAATCCTGAGAATAAAGAAGAAGCAGAGAGAAAATTCAAACAAGTAGCTGAGGCATATGAGGTGTTATCAGATGGTGAGTAATGCTGAATTTCAGGGGAGGGCTCTGAGTGGGTGAAGTAGAATTGGGAATGGAGAGGCAGTGAAGCCTTCCTCTGGCCTAGCAGGATGTGGACACACATCCTGTCACCAGGTGGATTTTGAGACCACTGAGAATGTTTCTTTCTGGTGAAGCTTGGAACGTACCCAGTTAGCCAAAAGTGTTGAGGAGCACTCAGGATGACTTTGATAGAACAGTAGGAATGCCCTGGCTTGGAGGAGCTGAGGAAGACATTGGACTTGGGGTTGGGGTTGGGTTGCAGGGCTTTGTTTTGTTTTGTATTTTGGCAGTACTCAAGATTGAGCCCAGGAATACTCTGCCACTGAGCTGCATCCCCAACCATTTTTATCTTCCATTGAGATAAGGTCTCCCTAAGTTGCTGAGGTTGGCCTCAAACTTATGATCTTCTTGCCTCAGCCTCCCACATGGCTAAGATAACAGGCATGTGCCACCTTGCCCAGCTTGCAGGGCCCTGCTTCGGTCACTGCATGTGGTTGTGCTTGCCCCTGCTGTCCTCTCATCCTCATTGCCTTACTTGGAAGTATACCATGTTAATGGAGTAAGTTCTACTGCTTGAGTGGACTTTCAGTAAAGAAGGAAGGGAACATACAGCTCAGAATGAAACATCAAAAGCTCTGTGTTTTCTCCACCCTAGTTCTAGAGCATAGGTATCGAATGGCAGAAGCATTGGCTTAGTTTTGTGACTAGGTCAAAGGTCAGTTATTGGTGAGATGGTTTCAGTGATTCATGGTGAAGGCAAGACTGCAGGGGCTTGGTGGGAATGGTGACAGAGACTGGAATCTACTACCCACACTCTGGGTAAGGCAGAGGCAGAGGAGGTTAGCAGGGTAGGGACTGATTAACTGACCACAGGAAATGGGCCAAAGCCTCACGTGTTCTGTGTGTGGTCAGGTGACAGTTGGCTGTTTGAGAAAGGAGCCCAGTGTGACCTTCTCAGCAGTCACCAGCATACTGCCTCCTTGCTGCATCAACGCTGCTCATAAGCGATGAGTCTCAGATACCTTGCTTATCAAAACACAGCGTTGATATGGAAAACTTTGAAATGTGGCATTTATTTTTTTTTTAAATACTTATTTTTTAGTTGTAGGTGGACACACACTATATTTATTTCAATTTGATGTGGTGCTGAGGATCGAACCCAGTGGCTCATGTATGCTAGGCGAGCACTCTACCACTGAGCCACAACCCCGGCCCCTAAATGTGGCATTTAAGAACATAAATTGCAGATGGGACATGGGGCCTGAAGGGTGTTGAAGACTCCGTCTCGGGTCCTGTCTTGCTGATAGTGTGACCATGCCATGCTCCCACACTGAAGGTTTTCAGGCACTTCTGACATTAGCTGTATTGAGGAGTGCACTGAGGCTTCATATTCAGTGGAAAGAACCTTTAAGTAGTCATGAAAGTCTCTGGGTGGAGTCTGTGTTGGTCATGTACCATGACTGGCCTTCCGCCATAGCTGAAGTTTTCAGAGGTAGGGCTTGGTAACCCCAAATGGGTATCTTCTAAACCTGCTGCCCACTCTGTGGAATAAGGTTTTCAGGGAACACAGGTGGTGGTGTGCAGTCAGCACTGGTGTGTCCATAGCGCTGTGCTACAGCTCTCTTAGTCCTGGAGATCTGGGGATGAGCAGCCAGGCCTGCAGGCTGAGGGCAGCTCCTCTTCAGCCTACCTAGGGCACAGACCTGATCCCCTGTTGGACTTTGTAGTTAAGGGGGATCACTTCTGTTCTAGGTAGGAATAGTTTTGTGCTTGGTTATATGATAGGTCTCCCCCCCCCGCCATCTATAGCCTCATGTGTGCTAGGACGGGTTGATTGTAATGTATGCATGAACTCTAAGCAGTAAAGTAAAATGATGTAACCGAATAGACATTAATAATTTCTAAAGAACAGTGCTTAAAGAGTTTTCCTCATCTTCTCTCAGAACAGGGTATATATATAAGGTCCTTCTCCTGCTCCTCTTGTCTTTTAAAGCAAGGGCAGACTTAAAATTCATGAAAAACTGAGACCTCATTTACAATTTGGGAAATGTCTTATTACTTGAATTTACCTTATTGATTGAATTTTGAGGATTTGAAAAGAACTTGGCCCTAATAATTCTGTTTTCAAATTTAAAGCTAAAAAACGGGACATCTATGACAAGTATGGCAAAGAAGGCTTAAATGGTGGAGGTGGAGGTATGTAAATGGATTTCCTCTCTAGAGACAAAGGTCTTGACAGTCATCCTCTGACTTGGAGTTCAGTTCAGTGTTTGAATTGTAAATTACTGAGTTTCTTGGTCAGCCTGTTTGCTAAATATAGATGCAGCCTGAGAAGTGGACTGAATTGGGTAGGGGAAGGAGAAATTGACAGCATTAAAAACAGCAACAATAACAAGAAAAAACAAACCTATTAATCTTTGTTAGACCAGAAAGTCTATGTTGATATAACTTTATATACATAGGAAATTGTTCATTATTTTGTACTGTCATCCTGTGAGCTTATACTGTTAGACTAGTAATCAGTATTAGTAAGTAAATTTTCCATCAGGGTTTGAAGAGAAGATTACTGAAAAGCTAAAAAGTGTGTTTGTGGAAAGCCCCTGTGGTGGTCTGACAAGTGGTGCTCTCTGAACTCCTGCGCTGAGCCCATGTGTTCAAGCTGTAACAGTAGGAAAGTTGGGTGAATACAGTCTTGTTTCTCATAGATCTAAGTAATAAAATCAGCAGTGACATGCTGATCCCAGATTGGGAGCTGCTCAGAAGTAGTAATGAAGGAATTGCTGGTGGGACATTCTGAGCACAGAGTTTCAATAACAGTAGGACTCATTTTGAATTTCAAAGAACCCCAGATATATAAAATAGGTTCTTTTTTCTTTCTAGGTCATGATTCATATAATGTTTTACAAAAATATTTGCTTATAGGCACCAGAATTCTTATATACTAAAGCTATGCTATGTTTATGTAGGTGGAAGTCATTTTGACAGTCCATTTGAGTTTGGCTTCACATTCCGGAACCCAGATGATGTCTTCAGGGACTTTTTTGGTGGAAGGGACCCATTTTCCTTCGACTTCTTTGGTAAGTGAATTTCCTGTGGTGGTCAGTTGTGGTATGTGTGGTGTGTCCATGACATGGTGAGGGCTGGTGGTGACCTTGCTATGGGGTGCTGTGCCTGGGTTATTAACTTTTCTGTTTGAGCAGGAGCAGTCAGAACATATCTGCCCTCTTCAGAGATTTTGTTTTATTAACTTCTTGGAGAGTAAAGATTTCTGTGTGGTTTTATTTTGCTTTTGCCCTCTCAGGCAAGGCAGTGGTGAGATTGGAAACGCTGTTTCCTCTATGGTGTTGGGGATGGAACCCAGGGCCTTGTAAAAACATGTACTCTACGCCTCAGCTACATGTCTAGCTCCCCTCTCAAACACCAGTTTCTGTAGGAATTTGTCATGGAATCTTCCTCTTGAAATCCTTAAGTGTCATGGACATTGTTTAGAGGACATTCGATTATGAACTTGCCTTCTTTTTTGTCTGGGAGTGTTATAATGGTTGAAGCCACAGTTTGTGAAGAAAGGAATTTTACTGGATCAAGGCAGCAGAGTGTCTTGGAGAGTAGTTTTGCTAAAGGAGACTGTTTGTTCACAACTGCTGGGTTGTAGGAAATATTTTTTTTTTTTTGTCCTGGTGCCTGATCCCAGGTTTTGTGTCATGTCTAGGATATGAACTGCACATTAGGTATTCTTGTTAGCTGTCTGCTAGTAGAATTTCCATTCTAGTTTCTAAGCTTCCTGTGTTTGATGCTTGCCGGGTAACCTGGGAGGCCAGGGTTAAGTGTGCTGCCGCCGCCATTTCTGTCTTTTGTGCACTGGGCGGGTAAACACATCTTGTGCTTGCCTCCTTCATTGATTGGAGCACAGTTGAAGAGACTGAACACCACTGGCAGACCCCAGGAGGGAAGAAGGAAGAGCAGTTGTGTCTACCAGTAATAACAGGGAGACAAGTGGAGCCCCTGCTTGTCATGGGCATGAAGAGGAGCAGGTTGCCACTGGATCTGGTAGGTTGCCTTGGGCCTCTTGAAGATTACGTGATGCAGTCGAGGTGATCCGCAGTGGAGATTCATAGTGTCCTTGTTCTTTAATATGGCATGTCCTGACTCTGAGCATACCTTATTGCAGGAGGGAATAATAGTGAGTACCTTCCAGCATGCCCGTAGGCAAATGCAGCTGCTGAATCAAAGCAGAACATTCAGATTAGGGTCAGAGGAGAATACGTTGCCTTTACATAGAGGAAGAGTTGACTTTACTGCTGCCGTATGTATTGTGAGGGCTCCCTATAAAGAGTACATGTCTGTAATGCTCAGAAAGCTTGGGATCTTTGAGCTTTTCTGGTTTTGAATTTTAGGTTACAAATCCTCAGCTGCTAAGGGTTTGTTTAAATACTCCAAATCTGAAATACCTCTGGTCCCAAGCATTTCAATTAAAGGACACCATATAATAGGAAAGAGAACCATATTTATATCCATGTCACTTGACCCTAATAGGCAAGAGATATTTCATGAAAGGAGGATTGACCCACTGGTTCTGCCTTGAATATCACATGTCACACCATAGGCTCCAGCAAGCTCCACTCTATTGGTTTTGCAGGCCAAGGCAGTGTTAGGGTTATAGTATATGTTCCCAAAGCCACAAGTCTCCTGGTGGCTAAGGAGGAAGAGACCTACATTTCTGACCCCTGGGTCTTGATTCAGGAGATGAAGCACCTTCTCAGAAGGCCAAGTTCCTTAAGTGATAATTTTATCTTACATGATTAAAAGTTCTTTTAAAGGGGAAAATGTCCCCTAGTGACGAATTGTGCACCCAATGTTTTCCTTAAGAAAAATATTGATGCATTAGCCGCCTCATTAAAAATGACTTGAGATTTATGTGTGTAAACACACACATATATATTCCGCTCCCTCCCCTTCCCATGCTGGGGTTGAATCCAGGAGCTCTTGACCCTGAGCTCCATCCTTAGCCCTTGTTTGGTTTTTGAGTCAGGGTCTCACTGAGATGCCTCACTTTTGCTAGGGTGACCTTGAACTTGAGATCCTGAGTCCCTGGGATCACAGGTGTGTGCCACCCTGCCTGGCTCCTTGACTGTTTCTTTCTAAAGAAGATATAGGGCTTATAATTAGAAGTGAATGAGTAATTATTTTTACTAGTCGAAAATGATGCTAAGCTTACTGAAACTACTCTTAGGTGCTTGACTCCCCGGTGGCGGCTCAAGGTTTGACAGTAGGTGCTTCCCGGCAGTGATGCTTCTCCAATCCATTCTTGTAGGTGTTCTAGGGGACTTCCATTTTCAGGCTGTAAGGATTTACACACAGGAAAAGAAGCTGCACCATGGCTGCTACGTGTACGAGGTGACTGTGCAGCCTCCTGGCGGTATGTGTGGTATAGAGCGGAGTGGTATACAGGGCTGGGACTTGGTCAACGTTTATCAGAATCGATGTCATTTTCACAACCCATTACAGAGTCCATTTATTGTAGCAAAGTATTTTTTAGTCTTAATTTTTCATATCACCTTTTTCCCTGTTTCTGTTTGGCTTTCAAAAGAAGTACTTTAAACTCCGTTGTCAGATACCTGGGTACCCTGGCTCGTTCCTGTAATCCCGGCTGCTTGGGAGGCTAAAGAAAGGATTAGGAAGGTTTGAGGCCAACCCAGGCAACATAGTGAGAATCTAATGAAAAATCTGCCCAGTGTGCTCACAGGCAGACAAAGAGAGTTACTAGTGAGGACAGCCTGGATCACTTAGACCCTGTCTCAAAATAAAAATTAATTATTAGGGCCAGAGACTCAGTGATGGAGTGCTTACCTAACTAGCATGCGTGAGACCCTGTTTTCCATTCCCCAGGAACACTCCCCCCACCCCACCCCCCCGCAAAAATGAATAAATAAAAAATGATTTCAAAATCAAGGCCACCCAGGGCAATTTTATTTTTTTTTAAATTGGGAATTGAACCCGAGGGTGGTTTACTACTTAGCCAGTCGTTTTTAGTTTGAGACAGACTCATCACTAAGTTGCTGACTTGGAGTCTCTTGCCAAGCCTCCTGAGTCATTGGGATTTCAGGCATGCTCCACCTTTCCTGGCTCAGCCTGGGCAAAGGAAAAGTTCTGTTTCAAGATGGTTTTGAGCTGAACGTGCATTTGTCATGACAAGAGCACAGGACTCCTTGGGGGAACTTGAGATGGTCCAGGTTTTGGGGGTGGGCCTCAGAACCAGAGAACTGAGGAGCAGGGCAAAGGCTGGCCTAGGGTCCTGTGGGAACTGAACTACTTTTGACACCCTAAAGCTAGCAGATCTCCCAGGAAAGCTAAGAGAGGTGGATTCTGCCAGCAGCCCTGAAACAGTACTGGCTCGCAATATTTGAGGCTCCCAGTTCTGTTTAAATTTTTTCCACAATATAGAGCACATGCATATGGGCCCTTGACAAAATGTTAATTGGAAGCCAATTTGAATGAGGATGTTCCCTTCATTTGTCTTTCATCACAGGACACCAATGCTGTTCTTGGATGCCAAAGTCCTTGGTAATAGTAGGCCTTTTCTTTTGATACCAAGGATTGAACCCAGGGGTGCTTTACCAATGAGCACATTTCTAGTGCTTTTAATTTTTTATTTTGAGACAGGTTCTCCCTATTTGCTTTAATAAGACCTTGCTAAGTAGCTGAGGCTGGCTTCTGCCTTATGATCCTACTGCCTTAGCCTCCCAAGTCGTGGGATTACAGGTGTGTGCCTCTGTGCCCATGGACAGTAGGCCTTTTATTGATCCATTAGAATGATTGTTTGGAACATTGGGTATTAATTAACATTTTTATTTATATTCTCACTTCAGAAAGCCAAAGCAGAGTGGGAGGACTTTCCCAGAGAGCCTTGTCATGCTGGCACTCCCGTGTCTCTTTCTCTATGAAGACTCTGGTCTTGCCAGCCTTGGTGAAGGAAACCCTTGTAGCAGTGGGGAACTTCCCGTGGGTAGAGCCAAGGGCAGCCCGCTGTTGGGGAGGAAGGAGCCTTGTGTTGAGGGTGAAAATAGCCTGACTTTACAGAGCCATGATCTCAATTTGGTGTAGTGAGTCAGTCGTTTTACTCCCTAGGGTTCGAGGAAGTGGCCAGTGAGGACTTGGAGCCTAGTGAAGAACTAGAGCAGCCCTGTTTTGAGGAGGCAGTGGAAGATTCTCCAAGTGACGAGAACAGTGAGGTTTTGGATGTGATATCCAGCGAGGAGCTGGACCTCTTTAGTGAAGAAGAGCCAAGCGAAGGCTGTAGCCGGGGCCAGGGCGAACTTCTCAGTGAGGAGTTGGACCTCATATCCAGCGAGGAGGAAGCCAGCCCTGGGGACACAGAGGAGTTCAGCGAGGAGTGCGAGGAGCTGCTGAGCGAGGAGGAGCAGTACAGTGGGCCAGAACTTGAGGCACTACTTGTTCAACAATAAATTGCAAAAGGAACTGCCCCGTCTCTGCTTTATAAGAAAGTTTAGTTTATTTTAAAGTTTATTCAGAGTGAGAAAATTTCTTCTATCACATTGGTAGTATACTTGGTCAGGTGACCTTTGCTACCTTGGAGATGTGGTTAAAGAAGGGTGGGGTATTGAAGCACCGAGTTTCCAGGGGCTCCTGTAACAAAGTACCTCCAACTGAGTGGTTTAACAAACTTCCCTCTCATAGTGCTGGAGGTCAAGTCCAAGATGAGGCGTTTGCAGAGCCCATTCCTCCTGGAGGGGAGGGAGAAGCTGTCCCAGACTGATTCCAGTCCCCTGTGGCCCCATAGGGATGTTGGCTTGTTGGGTGCTTTTCTCCTGTGTCTGCTCATCCCACTCTGCAGCTACGTGTGTCCACGTTTCCTTTTGACAGTGGCACCAGTTGGACTAGACTCAGACCAATGACTTCTTGTAACTTGTATCTGCCAAGACTTAATTGTGAATAAGATACCATTCGTTGGTTGAATCTTTTTGAAGGGCCATAATTCAACCTGTAATAGACTTTCTAAGCAGAGTCACTTAGGTTTTTGTCCTAGTCTGTACATTTTAGAAACTAGCAGCAGACTTTT